AAATACCATAGGGACCATGATGGTAATGTGACATGGAAGCATCGGAATACTAATCTGCAATGCAAAGCAAAAAAGAAAAAACTGGTGCTAAAAAACAAGAAAAACAGAGGATGCTTTTACAATTTGTGAATGTACAGAACCACTACTCATTTTCTCTTTTCATACCTCATTCCCCCCAGCTTCCATGACACCATCCTCACCTCAGAGTGAAAACCTGCAACAAATCCTAACCATTGGCTGGTGGCATCAAAGTTTAACCACAAGCAGAGATTGTCATGCACATTTTGAGCAATAAAAATGCTGTCATTGTAGTCACTGTCAGAACTTGACCAACCCAAGTACAAAAACCCCCTTTGCTGACACTTTTGAATGTTACTGCAAGCCATTTCATTAGGTTGTTCAACATCGATGAGGTGATGGGGATTAATAAGAGCTGTTTGCCACAGAGTATAGGAAGGATATGCACTGGAGAGATGTGTGGTGGTTATAACATTCATAGTGATAGAGTGACAGGCATCAAATATGGGGGTGATAGCACACTGCAAGCAAGTGACAAACACCACCAGCAGAGCATGAGAGTTCTCCAATATCTCAATACTTTGAATATGCAAAGTCATGCAAGGCAAATTCTGGTGATCATCAAAGGAAATACATTGAAATCCCATTTTCCAGATGCTTTCAATGAAAGCATGTGCTTCATCCCTTCCCACAAACACATCCAAACTTTTTGGTGACCAATCTTCACTATGAGCCCTGAGCATTAACCACAAGGCCACAGAACCACCAACAACTGCATTATGCATATCAAGCATTTGAAGAAATGAGTCTGGACAATGAAAATATTGAACAATCATGTGATGAAGGTGGAGAAACAGTGATTTTTAGATGATTTTCTATGTGTAAGGAAGTGCTTTCATCAAATTGAGCCAACCATCTAAATTGATGTATTTGATGATTGAATACAGAATGTCAACTGGCACAGATGTGATTGGTGGCACTTTAGTGTGTTTTTTGGAGAAGGTAAATAAGTGTTGTTAGCCAACTGTGATTAATACTTTCCTATCTCACCTTCATCAAACAGTATTCATTGCAATCACATTGACATGTCCTACAATGGAGACCTCTTTGAGTTACAGTCCAGCATTGCATCATCAACATCATCAACATTGATATCTTATTTCCATTGTTCTCCAGCTCTTCCTTGTGGTATCAAACAGGAGATGTCAACTTTCATCTACATTACAATGTCATTGCTTTAGTTTGATTCTATGACAGCCAGCTTATGTCATCACCCTTGACAGGTACCATGCCACTCTTTTTTAAAACTCATAGCATTCTCCTGATGCATTTGCTTCAGCCTGGATCTTCACTTTCATGGGATTTAAAGATGCAGTATACATATTTCCAATAACTTCTTCTGCAGATGTGAATATGTTTCACACTTCATCTCAATTGTAAGTGCCACCTTTCACAATCTCATAGCTATTTGTCTCTCACAATTGAAATTCCCTACTATGAAAGTGCTTTACACATCACATGATATCAAAGATGTTTTAACTATGAGGATTAGGGGCATCCTTTGTCATTTCTAAAATCAAGATCCCTCCCCTGAACAGTCATCACCAAGAAAAAGAAGGGCTGTCCTCTCACACTGTGGATCTGACCTTGCAACTGTGATATCTTCTCACCATGACATGGACAGATGATCCTCTTCTCTCACTGCAGAAACATGGAATCACATCCTCACCTTCTTAAACATTGCACAAATTTATACTCTCATGCTTACATGTAAACAGCACACTGACAATGGGAGATGTTACCTGGAATACTGTCAATGAAGCCTTGCTACAAGATTCTTTGAGAATCCACAAGACTTGTATGACCTTCTACATCCAGGTCAAGCAGTCATCTTGGGGTTGATGGCACTTCACTTTCTGTTAGCTGAAAAGGAAATGATGTGGACTCCTTGTGACCTCAACATCTACATTGTGCAGAGAAATGTCAAATTCCTTCTCTGTTTGCAATCATGGTCATTGTCTAGTAAGTTCTACCAATAAATGCTGCTTTCCATCTGACCACCTTGATCATACTTCAAGATCACCACAATCCCAATGTTGCTTTGTCATTTCTTCCAAGCCCAACCATTCACATTTCAGTTCCAAGTTAATCACTCTGCACAGTCTATCACACATTGCTAATGAACCTACATATTGTACAAATATCATTGCTCACCTTGTCTACCATATTCACTTCTAACTGCTACAAATTTCATGTTATTTGAAGTACAATATGCAACAATGGTGTGGTATATGACATCACTTTTTCATTGTAGGTTCACAAAACACCCAGCATGATGCCTTTCTTACTGCTCCACTGTCTACTCCACATAATATTTACCCCACATTAATGAAACCCTCTCATCCCTCCCCCCCCCTTTTTTGGTAGACAATGTCTGAGTTACAAAAGGTTAGGACATCTATGCTCCTGCTTTTTGCTACTTTAAATGCCCTTCAAGATTGAAGATACAGAAGTTCTACTGAAAAAATCAGATCAATGCTTTGTACTTTTTCCCATTCAATATCCAAAAGTACAGTGCTCCCCATAAATATTCCCTACATCACCAAACCCTTATTTCAGATTTGCAGTATGTATGTATAAGATAGCTGAAAGTACTTTCTGGACAACAGAAGACATACCACTCAATGGAGACCTTCTTCACTGGAAACAGCACTTAAATGACCTGCAACATTTCTTCATAATTCACAGACTTGCATTTCTCACTAGATCAAATGATGTTGTTGATCCTGAACCTGCAAAGCAATTCTGCTGCAAAGTACAAATTGCAGAAGCATGCAGCTTCTATGACTTTCAAATATGATGCAGAATGTTCGTGCTAAAACTTACTCTCTCCTTATCAAAACCTTTGCAGAAAGTTTTTCAGCACAAGATATGGCATTAGATGATATTGAGAACATGGCCTGGTTGAAATGAAAAACCAAATGTGCCCAGTGGCATCTCCTCCTGACCATTCCACATTTGCTGAGCAACTTGTTGCATTCACCACAATGAAGGGTATCATCTATGCCAGCTCATTTGCTGCCATCTTGTGGCTGAAGGAATGCTGCCTCCTGCCTGGTGTTACTTTGTCTAATATACTCATCTATTGAGACATCCACTTCCATATCCATTTCACTTGCCTGCTATTTAATTTTCTCTGACATCACCCTAACCTGAAAATCTTTGAACAGCTCATTAACAAAGCTGTTCACATTGAAGACAAGTTTCTCTGTGGTAAGATCATCCAAGATCATTTCTTTTACACAAACTTTTAATTTTCAAAGATATTGTACCCATTGAGGACTTTGCCTTCAGTGGCTGATCAAATGTCAATATTTTATTGCTGATCTTGGACATCTAAGCCAACAAGGCTATCAAGCCATATGTATATAGCTTTGGATGACTCAGAGGAGCTGGTACCCTTCAGGGGTTATGTTCTGCTTCAAAACATTGATTGCCATGTAGAAGATTTGCTAGGGAAATAGTGCATTGACAGCCATCTGGTATTGGACACACATACCTTGGAGATATCAGCCAGCTTGTTACCATCTGAAAAAATGATGTGGATAACTTTGTTGAAGTGTGCATGGTGTTGCCAACAAGGAAAACTTGTAATGCTGTCATTGTCAAAGGTGAGAAGTGACAATGTTCAGAGTGATTGATTGTCAAACAGTGACACACAACTTCTCAATGTCAGCTTTGATCTGTTGCCTGAGCACCTTTACAATCACCTTTAGGTCCCCAAAGACGTACTTGCCCCAAAAACCATGCCCATAATGCAGTGGGTCAAAGCTGCAGGCCAGGTGGAGATCAGAGAACCCAATCAGCCAGAACACGTTCTGCATCCCATTATATATTAGTTTGCTGATGGGAATTTGTTGGTGGAAACTTACCTCAATTGGTCATAAACCAAACCATGTTAGCAATCCATCTCTTTTGGCTTGATTCATTGCATGAACACATAATGTATCAATGCCCTGGGCATGTGTATGAGGTTCAAAAGTCCTGGAGAGGTCATGGAGTAGATCTGATAATACAAGACATACAGGGCAAGGGCATTTGCCACTGTGACCATGAGTGAGTGCCATCATGCATCTGTAGTAGGCCATTGAGTTAGTATTGCCAGTCTGAGCAAGAAGAAGAAAGTATATTACATCTCTTCAAAATCAGCAGACAGTATCATAAGACTTGGAAAGAGCCAATGGGTAATGTTGTCATGTGAAGATGGGCCAAACAGTATGGCATTCTTGATATCTGGTAGACTCAACTAGCAGATATACAACATGTCATGTATGGGAATGAATGACATATCAGCCAGGCACATACTTGAATATCCCACCAATGATCTCCAGTCCAGGGCTCAGCATAAAAACATTCATACTCAATGCCATTGTGCCTGTAGATTCACTGTGCATCCCATGTGAAGTGCAGACCCAGGAAAGGATTTTCTAAGATATTGAGTGCCCACTCCTACAGTGGGTGAATATGTGCTTTGAACATACATTCTTCCTCTTTGTATGGTACCTTAACTTTGACCCAGGAGAACTATTTAGAGAGGTAGGATGGATGGCAATGAATGGATATTTGAAAATCTTACTGGAGTGAGTTCCATTGCAGCTGCATCACACACTTTGTGAAGTTTGGCATCATTCTTGAGTGTGACTTGGATGGCTCCCTGTGTGACATGAGCAAAGAGATCCAGCAGTGCATTGACCTGTGGCTAGTTGGGCAGTGACGCAAATGTAATTTCCATGAATTCAAAGTCACCCAATGTGTGAAATGGGGACCAAGGTGTTTTGTCAACTGGGGATGAGGATTTTTCACTGTGAACACAGAACTCTTCATAGGACTGATAAATCAGTGGTCAATTGCTTCTTGGATGAAATTGGATCTTGAATTCAGGAAGTTTTGCTGCATTAGAACTTGTGGAAGTTGGCATCAACATGTCTGAGGGAATTATGAGCACTGTGAGAATGTGCATCAAAGTGAATTCCAGGGTGCATAGCAGTCCTGGTCTGTTTTCATCTTTTGTCACACATGGTCATACTGGGCTGAAGGCAGATGGCTACACCACCATTTCTATGTGCATCTCTGGAACATGCAATGGAAATGGTTTGCAATAACTTTGCAAATTGCCTCTTAAATATCATATCATTTTTTGTTATAAGCATTCAATGTCATTCATATCATCAGTCTTTTCTCACCCTTTGCCTGCTAGGGGCTTTGCAACCTTCTTCCCAGACAACCATGCTTCCTCAACAGTCTGCAGCTGAGGTGATGACATTGGTCAACATGCATGCCAACAACTGCAGTGTGTGTTTGAGTTATGCAGAGCTGAGGGAAAAGTTTGCTTTTGTGGGCTTTGCTGAACATGGCATGCATGGTCAGGCACATTGTAGTGACAAATGCATGTTGACCACCATTCCAAGTTCATTAAAGCAGTTTGTTGAACAGTTTCAGTTTCTTTCCTGTGTTGATTTGTTGGGTACAGTGAGGGACAAAAGTGTTGCAATGTTTGTGAGGTGTGACTTGCTGCCAATGTAGCTCAGGCTATTCTGCACAGATGATCATGATACCCATACCATTGGAAGGGGGTGACTCTAAGCTTTCCAGATTACTAAGGTTCAGTCCAAACAAAGCAATTCATGCCAAGATACACCCTATTCTTTCTGAAAAGTGCATTGCAATGCTTTTGTCCCTGACTGGTGAAATAGTGAAAAGTGATCTTTTGATGGGATTAAGGGCATGAAGGATGGGAAAGTATGATTACATAATAAATCACATGGTCTTCCAGATAATTTGTCAGCATGTAAACAATGACAAACATTGGACTTGTACCATTAACCCTCCCTCTGTTACCACGACTCATGAAATCATCTCTCTAGCTCACATGGTCATTTTTGCAAGGAATTCTTATCAAATACTGGTGGCCACCACAGTGCCATCAGCATAACATGCTCTCAGAACCATCAGTCCCTTAAAAAATCTGCTGTCAGTCATTCCCTGCACTTTTTCTCCCCCATGCCTGATGTGTTCTGGGACTAATCTGTACTTGGAAGGCTGAAAATGTTATGGAGGTTGATCTGGCACTTCAGAACATGATGGACAAACCAGTCCCCTCTCAACCAATGCATTTCTGGCACAGGAACACTGGTATGGAAGTTGGGGTGAGATAAAACCTCCTTGTGCTCTGAGCACCATAAGAGGGTTCACTAGGTCTTGCTCTGATCTGAACTGTAGATGACTGGGGAAGGATTATTTGGTCATATGTGACCAAAGGCAAGATTCAGGGCCAGATGGAAGCACAGGATTCTGCTCCATGGCAGTTCAGTAGCATATCCTTCTAATGACACCCAGGGGTAAAGAGGATTTTGTCTTGCCCTAACTTCCATACCAGTGTTCCTGTGCCAGAAATGCATTGGTTGAGAGGGGACTGGTTTGTCCATCATGTTCTGAAGTGCCAGATCAACCTCCATAACATTTTCAGCCTTCCAAGTACAGATTAGTCCCAGAACACATCAGGCATGGGGGAGAAAAAGTGCAGGGAATGACTGACAGCAGATTTTTTAAGGGACTGATGGTTCTGAGAGCATGTTATGCTGATGGCACTGTGGTGGCCACCAGTATTTGATAAGAATTCCTTGCAAAAATGACCATGTGAGCTAGAGAGATGATTTCATGAGTCGTGGTAACAGAGGGAGGGTTAATGGTACAAGTCCAATGTTTGTCATTGTTTACATGCTGACAAATTATCTGGAAGACCATGTGATTTATTATGTAATCATACTTTCCCATCCTTCATGCCCTTAATCCCATCAAAAGATCACTTTTCACTATTTCACCAGTCAGGGACAAAAGCATTGCAATGCACTTTTCAGAAAGAATAGGGTGTATCTTGGCATGAATTGCTTTGTTTGGACTGAACCTTAGTAATCTGGAAAGCTTAGAGTCACCCCCTTCCAATGGTATGGGTATCATGATCATCTGTGCAGAATAGCCTGAGCTACATTGGCAGCAAGTCACACCTCACAAACATTGCAACACTTTTGTCCCTCACTGGATCTGTGATTGGCATGGTATCATTGTTTCCTGTCATCTTCCTGTGCAGGCATTGCATGACAGTCTTTGGCTTCATAGTTGTACTCTGGAGTACCACAGTGCACCCTTTCTTTTTTGGCAGTTACAACAACAACAATGTGCTTGCTCAGAGCAGGATCTTGTGGCCACTGTGCCTATGGAGGAATATGTTCAAATCATTCATGAGGGTAATAATTGGCAGCAATGGCAGTCCTGCAATCACAATCAAACTATTGAAAAGTGTGAGGAGTGTAATGAGCCACACTTGCACAAGGAGCTTTTCCCTCCTATGCATGATTTTGCAGAAAAAGTTGAAATCATAAAGGAGTGGCAGGAACAAATGAATCCCTCTTGCCTGCAACTGGGAGTGTGCACAGTCTGTGCTCAGTTGAATTTTGACAGTGATCTACACAATGTTTTGCCCATGGAGCTTATGTTAATGCTTCTTTGAAATGATTTCTTGCCCAATAAGGTATTACCACAAACCTATGCTCTTGATGTTTACCGTGGTGCCATTTTATCTCCTAAAAGTATGTGATCATTGAACACAATTGCCACAATTCAGATGTGTGATGGTTGTAGGTGTAGTTTGACTGGCAGAACTCCTTCTCAACCATCTGATACCCTTGCAAATTTCCAGTATTATGCTTAGGAAGAGTCACCTATGGAAGTAAGGGATGTTTTTTGGTTGGCATTGGTGTGTTTAACACAAGCTTCAATAATTACTCATCACTATCAATCAAACCTGATGTGAGGTGGGAGAATGCCTGATGATGCCCATACATTTCCATCTTACCTCAGGATGTAGCTGGATTGCAATGTGTGTTGCCTCCTTCACCCCAAGAAGTAAGGGATACATTTTGTGTCATTTTTTGCAGGGGGAAGTTTCATCCCTCCAGGGAAGCAATTGCACATTTTCAACTGATTCTTCTGTCGAGAAATATTATAAAGTCAATAATCAATTTTCTCATCACTGAGAATGAGTGGTACAGGATTTCAGGTGTAATGTTCAACTGCCAAAATCTGGAAAACAATCCTCATTGGAAGTGATGGTTGTGTTCCTGTGCAGGGTATGCAGATTACTCATTTGCCATCTGCTACAGCAGATGAAAATGATGGAGAACATGTTTGGGAGGGTTTCAGTGGAGACTTCATTATGGAGAAGATTGCTTACACCATGGGTAATCATTCTTCCCAAAGTTGCAAGACTATGAAAGTGCAGGCAATGGCACATGCTCTCAATCATGGCCTGTTTTTGAGCAATTCCATGGGGTCTCATTTGGTTTCAGATATGGAACCATATCTGATGAGCACATTTCCTCATTTAGATCCCTGGGGGATAGGCAGCTTTAATGCTCTGCAGAGAATGAAGACCCAGCAAATTTCATTCAAATGTCAGTTAAAAAACTTATTAAAGCAGGTTGACTCACCCTTTGTGGCTGACCAACTTTTTTGTTCATTTGTTGGAATATCATTCAGAAGAGGGAGGCAAGTGACAATGTCACATTCTCCATTAAATCTGCTCATCAAAATGAGCTTGCTGCTGAATTGCATGAAATGGCAGATTGTGTTTGTGAGTATGCCAAAAAGTGCTTAACTGTGACTGTCCCAAAGCCTGTTTAGACAAGAAAAGAGTGGCACATTTATTTTGTGATCTCAGTATGATTTCCAAGAAGTTGTGTGGAACATGCATTTTTCATATCTCTTAATCCCCATGATTTGACTAATGTGCTCATCAGGCACTTTGCAGGAATCCATGAAGGAGAATGGAGGATAATGTTGTCTTACAAGTGACTGTGCTTTGTGGTGAAACATCTGGGTGTGGTGTAGGGAATGCAGACCTTTTCCCTATGAGAAATCACTCCTCTAGTGTGTCAAAGGGATGGTTTGGGGATGGAGAGTGTAGGCAAGGGTCAAAGAGGGTTCAGACTTAGGGGTTGTGGCTGAGGGAACTTAGTGTCAAAAGGTTGAGAGCTGACTAAGTGCACAAGTAGTCACAGTGTGTGCCACATCACATAGACACTACAGTACAGTGCAGACAAGGATTACTGTACTACATGTCACTGTCTACTCTATGGTCCTTCTTTGGAGAGCAAGAATCACTGCTTCAGCTCTGTTGTCAAGTTTTCTTTTCAGTCTAGAAAATCCTCCTGGGTGAGTCCCCTTTTGTTCATCTAAAGTGCTTATCCTGCATCTAGACTGAAGCCCCTTCAGGGTCAACCCAACTTGAACAGAACCTAGCTCTTCTGGAGTCAGAGTTCTTGGCCATCAGAAATCAGTTACTTACACTTGGAGCCCACTGTGAGGGGCTTCAACCAATGACCAGGAAGTAAAGTACAACCTCAGGCAAATGGCAGCTAGGGTTGCCCACAAGGAGAGATACAAGAAAGTGAAAGAAGTGCTCAAATCAAGGAAGAAAGCAATGCCTCTTTGTTTGGCTAAGTCATCTCTAGGGAAGCTCCCCACTGCAGTTCCTCTTCCAGAATCCCCAGAACCAGAAGAGCCAAAACAGACCTGAGAACCCAGTTTCACAGAATACCAAACACCAGTGCCAGTTATCAGATCAAACTCAGAAACATCATTTGCTTTGACAGAAGAAGCAGTGAAGCTCCTACAAGAACCACCTTTGCCACTCATGGAATTACCCCTCACAGTATTCATAGAGGAGCCCAAAGATGTTCCATTTTTCATTCCTACATTTACAGGTGCAAAAGTCAACACTACAGGCTTAGAGGACATGTACAAAGCAATCTGGGATGACAGGCAACCAACAAGCTCATCAAAGTTTGTGATGCCTAAGAAGGAAAAGGAAGCAGAGTTACTGCCATTTATGACCTACTGGGACAAAGGAAAGGAAAGGGTGACAGAGCAGTTGCCAGACAGAATCTATGTCAATGACCCAAAAGTTGTGGTCCACCAAGGGTGGACCAGAGAAAAATTGCCCTCGAGGTTGAGGATGATGGTGAAGTGGAGACATAGGTCAGGACATAGGGAGAGGTCATCCTTGAGGTTGAGGTCAAGACATGAGCCCAGGTACAGATCAACTTCCAGGTTGAGTTACAGGACAAGGCACAGGTCAAAGTCCCATGGCCATGGACATAAAAGATTGGACAAGTTGAGAAGTAGATGCCATAGGAGGTCCTACTCCATGGACAGTTCATTGAGCAACTTGAGCAAGGAGGAGGAAAGGAGAAGAAGGTATTACAGGTGCAAGGAGAAAAAGCGTGAGAAGAAGGTATTACAGGTGCAAGGAGAAAAAGCATGAGAAGAAGGTATTACAGGTGCAAGGAGAAAAAGCATGAGAAGGAATGTCACTCAAGGTATAGGTCTCCATCTACAGAAGCACAGGAGCTGAGGAAGAGAACAGCCCAGCCAGAAGAACTATCTGAAGGGCAACATATCCTTAGGCTTCTCAGACAAGGTGCCCTTGTGTCCAACAAACCCAAGCCACTCAAGAAAATGCACTCTAGGTTTTCAGACAAAGCACCCAAGTTCTTGGGGAAAACAGCCAACCTGGTTCCTTCTCTGGAAGAAATCCACCACCTGTGCAAGAAGGCAGGGTGTACAGATGAGTATGAGTGGCCAAAGTGGGCTATCTGGTATCTGGACAATGATATGGCAAACCTGTGGATGCAACTCCTGGGAGAGATGACAGGTAGATGGCATGAGTTTGTGGAGGTGCTGGCAAATGTGTACCCTGGTGCAGGAGAATGAGAGAAGGGATACATTAAAGCAGACCTGGCTGACCTCATTTGAGCACAGTCCAGGAAGATTATAGTGACAGAAGAAGACCTTGGAGAGTACCTTAGGCAGTATGAGACCATTGTGGGCTATCCCAACAGATGCTACAAGCCCACCCAAGAAGACTATGACAGTTACTTCTGGGAGGGCTTGGACCTGGAACTTCAGAAAGATATGCTCAAGAATTTGAAGTTTAGGAATGGTTTATGTGATTCAGATGACCCCTGGCCTATGAACAAGGTCATATTGTCATAACCATGTCTTGACCCCAGCCAGCTTCAGCCTCATCAATCCCTTATCCCCAGATGTCCTAGCATGGTGAACACTGCTTTGCAGTGCTTGTCACTTCAGTTAAACCCTGCCCAGTCTTGTCCCTTGTTCGCCCTGTCCTGGTCTTCATTACCTTAGTCATACCTTACTAATACTAGTCTTACCAATCACCTTAGCAATCTTTGCAAGACTGGCATTACTGGTCTCTGTACTATAGTTGTCTCTAGTATATAAACCTGTAGATACTCAGCCTGTATCTGCCCAGTCTGAAATCAACTAAGTTCATTCTGATAATCCCACCTTGGCCTCAGACTTGGACTGAAACCCACACAAGGGAATAGCACTGCCTTCCCAGTCACTAAGTCCAACCAGTCCATCTCTGTTTCTCTGTTCCCCACCTGTTCCTGACCCTTTGGCCTCATGCCCACTTTGGTCTCCAGTCTGGTCTCAACCTGGACATCATGAACTTGACACATATGAGAAATAAAAGAGTTGCTGAGGCATGGATACCATATGACAAGAAGCTGTGTTGCAAGGAGGGGCATCATTCAGTTATCACCCAGGGAGGAAGCTGGGAGGATAGCATGCAAGTTAGTCCAGAGGCAGCCTCAGGTTTGAGCAGAAGCACAGGTCCAGAAAAGGGCAGTGCCTGTACAGGCCAGAAATGTTGTCAAGGGAGCACATGAGCTGCCTCAAGAAATAATCTGCTGTTTTTGTTTCCTTCAAGGACACTGCACAAGGACTTGTTGCATGTTGGAAAGGTATTGCATGGCTGGCAGGTGTGTTGTTGAAGACAATAGGGTAAAGTTCAATGACAGCATGCACATTCCTCAGACAGATGAGCCAATGTACCAGTTAATAGATGAGTGGATGGCTAGAGACAGGAGGAGGAGAGAAGAGCAACAAGCACCCATCAACTGTATTGAGCATGAAGAGGAACCTCCAACAAACATGAATATGTTTGTGGTAGCACACAACACTTTCCAATACATTGAGAGAGCTAGGATCAAAGAGTTTGCTTTGGAAGGAGAGGACATGGCCAAGGAGGTCACCTTGGAAACAGAGTATGAAGCATGACAGGCAGAAGTAGAACAAGCATTTGCAGCAGCATGAAGGGAAGAGAGTAAACTACAGTGAAAGGCCCCAAAGTTCAATGGAGTAGTGGTACCTGGAAAAGAGAGACATACAGCGACCATGACAGCAGAGCAGGCAGGACCTAGTCAGTCCAGCTCAATGGACACTCCTGAAGCAAGTTTGAAGGATAAAGGGAAGCATCCAGACAGAGGTGCTGGCAGGTCACTAGGACCTACCCCTATGCCAAAAACCCAGCAGCATGGCATGGAAGATCAGGATGCAGGAAGGAAAGGCTATAGGTATACAAGCCTGTTTGAAGACCCTACAGCAGTGATGAGGGTTTTGAACCAGTAACTGGACCAGACCATTATGATTTCTGGAAGAGATCTACTCACTATAAGTCCAGACATTCAAAGGGAGTTCAAGGACTGAGCAATGACAAAGTGAGTGGTGCTCAGTGCTACCTTCTCAGGCACATCAGGGATGCTGGAAGGGTCAGTGCAGTTGAATGATGTGAGGGCTTTTGAGTGTGGTATAGGAGAAGAGAGGTTTGTGCAGATGGATTTGATGTGACTTATGATGGTATAGGTTGAGCTGGCTGGGAAGGTCATGCTTGAAGGGATCCTTGACAGCAGTTCACAGATCATGGCTTTGTGACAGGAAATAGCTGAAGTTCTGCATCTCCCCACCAAGAGAGATAGCTGAATCATGATGGAAGCCACAAACCAGTCAAAGGATGAAATGCTGGGCCAGTGCAAGATGCTTCACTCAGGATCAGTCCAGTGCAAGGGCAAGTGCTGATTCAAGTTGTCAAGTTGGCTCCCTTTGATATCCTCCTGGGCAGGCCATTCCTATGTGTGATTCAGGCAATGACACAAGAATTTAGGAACAGGCAACAGACTCTTGAGTTTATGGATCCAGAGACAGACAAGAGGATCCAAATCTCACCATGAGCTAGAAGGTCCCTCACACAGTTCCCCCAGTTTAGGGATGCTGTTTTGCAGAGGGTGTATGTTTGGAGAATAGGGCACAAACCCCATAGGATGCAATGTTGACCTCAGGACAAGGGATTTTAGACTTTGTCCAGGACTCAAATAGCCAGCAAGGAGACATTTCAATGGGATCAGCCACCCCTGAAAGGCTGGGGTATCTTGCTCAGCCTATAGCAGTATAAAAGAATGAATCAAGTACATATGTCTTGGACTTCAACTTGCAGTGTCAAGATATAACCAAAAACCAAAAACAAGAATCAACATTAGGCATAGAGGTGGCCAGCCATAGAGTTCCTTTTAGATCAAGCATGAATGATGCACTGACTTTTCCCACAGGTATAGAAATCAAATTGCAAGTTGTATATCATAGAGACACAGGACAGTATTGAAGAAAGGAACCCTTTTGTAAGGGACACAGAGAAAGAGGAGCAGATAGAAGCATTGAGGAAGAAGATTGAAGTGAAGAAATAGAGGTTGAATGCACAGGGGAAAGACTGAAGGGTTTCAAGATGATGTTCACAATGACAGAGGAGGACTTTAAGTCCT